ATTAACTTATTACTTATTAGTTAGGTTAGGGTACGGTACGGTACGGTACGGTACGGTCCGGGTACCGGTACCGTACTATACTACCGTACTACTATATATATATATATATATATATATATATATATATATATATATGGAAGATATTACAAAACGCCTATAGGTGAAAAGAAACAGTGATTTCGTCTACTCTCATCACTATACAAAGTTCATCGCACGGTCACGATTGTCTGATAGTGTTTTATTTTTTATTTTTTTATACAAATCTGAATGATCTAAAATTTGGAGTGTGTGTTCATCAAAAATAGACGAATCTACAAAAAAATATCAAAAAAATATTTTATATGAAAAACATTGACCAAAAATACTCTCGAAAAGTTTCGGAGGTATTTTGGTCAACTAATTTTTTGTGAATTATTTTTTTATATATTTTTATTAAGTGCGCCTCACTAAGATGTACACAAGCTGTAAAGTTTAGATTATTCTGATTTATAAATAAAAAATAAAAAATAAAATACTACTGGACAAACATGACTGTACCATGAACTTTAGACGGTAATGAGGGTAGGCGAAATCACTGTTCATTTTTTCCTATAGGCATTGAGAAGAGTTTTCATTTATGGAATATATATATATATATAACATTGTTGTGCGCCCATACACGAATGGCCCAGATTAAATCTGGGCCATTCTGTGACCGATCTAACGCTCACGAATGTCCGATAGTGTTTGAATTTTAATATTTTTTTTATAAATCTAAATCACTTGAAATTTTAGACGTGTGTTCTTCTTATCAAGGCATACCTAATAAAAATATAAAACAAATTTGTGAAAACAAAAATGACCAAAATATCCCTGAAGCTTTTCGGGGGTATTTTGATCAATTTATTTCATGTAAATAATTTTTTTGCTATTTTTATAGATTTGCCTATTTTTTAATAACGCACGCCTAAAATTTCAAGTAATTTGAATTTGTAGAAAAAAATTAAAATTCAAACACTATCAGACATCCGTGATCGTCAAATCGCCCCATATTCAATCTAGGCCGTAGGCGTTTATTGTAGCAGTACGCCACTGGGGGCACATGATCTTTTCCCTATATATATATATATATATATAAAGGAAAATATATAATGAGACCATTTACTTGTTGCACAAGACATAATTAATCTTGACCATTGGATGTAAAATTGAGGGGCTGCATTTATTTCATTGACTAAGCTTAAAGTTTAATAGATTTTTTCTTGAACTTTGTGACACACCTAAGCTATCAATTTCACATCGGATGGTAGTAAGTAATAGTATACAATGAGACCATTACATTAAGTACAGGGAGGTCACAATTACTTACAACCATCCGATGTGAAATCTAATAGCTTATGTGTGTCACAAAGTTAAAAAAAAATTCTTTTGAACTTTGAGCTTAGTCAATGAAGGTACCCAATTTCACTTCCAATGGTCAAGATTAATTTTGACCATCATGTATCAAAGGTAAATGGTCTCATTATATACTTTTCCATTATTTAAATGTTATAACTAACTATATATAGTTATATTTATTTAAATATAATTAAAATATTATATATTAAATATTAATTATATTCAGGTTGGGTCTACATAGACTCGGACCTGTACGCGGACCCAACCTCTTAGGTCCAATTTTTGGACCCATACCCGGTCGGGTCCTAGGTCCATTGCCACCCCTAATTTCTGTTTTATTAAACATGATTTTTCCCTTTTACTAAACATGATTTTTCTCTGACTTTTGCTTTGTCTTCATTGCAGAAGCAGATCTTCAATGTGTGGATACGCATTTTGAATATGCGAAAGTCGGTGACAGAGTAGAAAATGGAGATGCAAATGTTGCTGAATGAGATTAAACTAATTAATGTTCTCAAATATCAAGTAAATTCAAATGATATTTTTTTTTTTTAATTTCAGCTTTTCTACTTAAATTACAGAATTTTCAGTGACTTTTCATTTTCTACAAATAAAAAAAGGGATTGTATACAATAACATCATTTACCTTTGGTACATGCAGATCACAATTACTTATAACCATCTGATATGAAATCGGATAGCTTGGATGCATTGCAAAATTCAAAAAAACTCCTTGAACGATGAGCTTGGTCAATACATTGAATGCAGCCACTAATTTCACATCCAATAGTTAATATTAATTGTAAACACCATGTACTAAAGATTAATGGTTTCATTGTAATTTTTTTGATTTGTTTTTTAAATTTTTTTTTTTCCAAGTAGATTAGGCAGCTTAAGGCATGGGAGAAAATGGAACGAAGATATTTTGAGGCTATTGCTAAAACGACCAGACTTTTTCAAGCATTGACAACCAGAGTCTACCTAATTGAAGGTGCAAAGGTACCCTCTCCCCTCTACCTCTACTCTCTTTCAATAATATAGCCTAAAATATCTAGAAAAATTTACACAAAATCCTATTCTATTTATGAAATTTTAAGACAACCCTGTATATTCATATTTTTTACAAGTACCACTTTTTGAGAGCACAAAGTATATTTTGAATTTACATATTTTCTATACATATAATTAAGCTCAAACTTGGTGTTTTCATACTTTCACCATCTCATACCTATAAAAAAATATTTAAAAATAATTCAAAAATAAATTATCAAAATAACTATACAACATTCATAGGTATTTAAGTAATTTGAAAAACTGTAAATTATTTTTAAAATATTTTTTATAAGTTTGTAATATTAATATCAAATTTGAGTTAAGCATGATATATAGATAAAAAGATAAAACTAAATTACACTTTATGCCTTAAAAAATATAACTTTAATTTTAAATATGTATATGAGAATGATTTCAAATTCTAAAAATAAAAACAAGATTTTTCTCTAAATTTTCCAAATACCTAAAAGCAAACTGCTTAATCAACTTATGTTGCAGGTGGATGCTAATTCCTTGGCTCAAACAATGAGAATCTCTCTAGGTGTCATGGAGGGAATTCAAGACACAATTGCTAGGTTTTTCAAGCAGGTATATTTCTCTATGTCAACTATGCTATGATCCAATTAACTATGGACAACGATGATCATGAAGGACTATGGTATTTCATAGTATTTTGTGTAGGGGTGGAAACAAGTCGGGTGGACATGGACCTAATTCGATCGATCCAAAAATTAAAATATCTATGTATTTAACTAAATGTAGATATATTTTATATATTGGGACTAAAAAATATTATCGGGCCCGGGCCCGACCCCGACACCTACCCGGACATAGATCCAAATAATGTTCATGTCCAAGATTTGGACCCAGACCAACCCGCCGGGTCCAATTAACCAGACCCAAATCAGATCTACTCCTCATGTCCTGGTCCATTGCACCCTAATATTGTGTTGTTGCATTCTTATTTTTCCAATGTAACACTGATATGCATGTTTTTTTCTGGTCAATACATCAAATCACATTACTTTTGTCTCACACATTAGAACTGTAAATGCTTTTTTATAATTTTATTTTAAAATCTTATTAATAAAATACTTAATACCATCTAAAATCTCATCTCCGCTTTTTTAGAATGTACAGACACTAATATTTAGGTCAAACTCTGATAAACATGCTCTACCTACATAAAAATAGCTTTCTTTTATAACTTGGAGAGGACAGATGTTAATTGAAAACCCATGAGCAAGTTATAAGTTTTGAATGACCAAATTACTGTTAAATTAGATAATGAATAAGAAAATTTTCCATAACTCAGAACCACATACAAAAGCTGAAAGGGATATAAAAAAGGTATTGTCTACAAAGACACTACCTAGAGGTCCCAACTATTCACACTCCATTCGATTTCAAAACGGGTGGTTGTAAGAATGTCATTGATTAGACGCTGAGTTTTAAGAAAAAAAAAAGTCTCAGACTTTGTGACTCACCCAAACCATCCAATTTGACATCTAATGAGTAGAAATAGTTGTGACCTCCTTATACAAAAAGTAAATAGTATATGTAGACAATCCCTATAAAAAAAAAAGCTAATATTGGGGAAGTTCAAAATTCAATGTATTACTGTTTTTGTTTTATCATAAATAATTATACAAAAAATTTAGGGGCATCGTCAAGCTCAAATATTGAACCAAATTTCTTGAACTTGAATTTTAAAGAATCAATGTTACTTAAAATGAAATTTACTTATGATAACATTTTGATTGAGGCAGGCAGAGAAGATGAGTTGCATGATGCTTGAGCTTGTGCAAACAATAAGGCAAGAAGAAGCAGCCATGGAAGAACTTATGCAGCTTGTAGCTACACTAGCTTCATTGGAGGTGGGACTTTTAATCATTTTTTACAAGTTGTGTCGGGAATATTTCTTAATAAATATGACCAAACGAGGTGTTAATATGAATTTTTTAAGCTTTATTAACACAAAGCTTCCTTATGAGAAATTACAATGATATAATTACAATATCCATCTTTCATGAACAGACAATTAGGAATCGTGTTTGGGCTTGAGTGGTTAGTTGTTTACGATTGTAACACTACATCATAAGTTAGATTTCAACAGCCCCTTAAATAAATAAATCAATATATGGGATTATCTACAGAGAGAGACCGTTTATCTTTAGACACGATTTGTATCAGTCCAAGTAGAAATGAGTCACCTCTTAAAAAACCTATTTTTGAGACGGATTTTTTTGACTTAATTTTTAAGGACATGCAATCTCTAACTTGGAGATCATTAATATAAATAAATAATTTTTAAAAATTAGAAATAATAATTTTATTAAGAAAGCATTTGGACTGTTAGTTTCAATTGTTTTTAGATGGACCACATGTTTGCATGCATCTTTGAGATGGATGCTTTATACCTCAGGGACCACATATGTAGAAATGCGGTCCCCTAAACAATTTTCGTTTATCTTTGGTTCAAGGAGATCACAATCATTCTCACTCATTAGATATCAAATTGGATGGCTTAGGATGAATCACGATACCCAAGTTTTTTTTGTTTTTAGAACTTCATGTCTATTAAATGACCCTTTTACAACCACCCATTTTGAAATTTAAGGGCCAAAAATTATTGTGACATCCATCTACAAAAGATAAATAATTGCAACCACCCATCTTGTAATGCATTTTTTGACCATCAATTTATAAGAATTTCAAGTTTTCATCTATCTGCTCAATCTACACTATTTTTTAAGCTTAAAATTTATAATTAGAAATGAAAATATATATTTTAAGGCTATCACAAAGATTTACAGTATTAAAACCATATTTCTCGACACTATTTGAAGGTGCGCTCTACTTTGATTGTTTAGAACCTCGGCTCTATACAAACCGCACCCTATATGCAAGATGCATTATTTTTTAAACTTAAAATCCATTTTTTTCACATTTATATATCTCAAGGTTGAGATGATTGATTTGAGGGTTTTTAGACATAAAAAACGACCTCTACTAGTGAATTTTTAAGGTACATTTTAATTTGATTGTTTATGGTCTCAACCTTATATAAACTTTTCCTTACCTAGCAGTTATTAATTTATTATATATCTCATATTTCCAGTGCATATGAACTTTCTGGAAATCACAAAAGCATGCATATAAGAGGGTTTCCCCAAACATACAGTGAACCCCAACAAGAGTAAAGTAGCCATAAATGGATAGATGGAGTGCCATGGTCCTTTTACCGTAAGACTGAGGATTCAGCATAAAAATCATTTTGCTCAACAGAAAATTACAGGTTCGTTTCCAATATCGATGAACTAACACTATATATGAACAGGTTGAGGAGAGAAGCCTTAGAGTCCATCACATTCAAGCCTCAAAAGAGAGAGAAAATGCAGCTCAGCGACGTAATTTCGACCTTTTCTGGTTACAGTTGCCTGAAAATCTAAGTTTCTGGCGAAAAGTAACGTTTTCTTGATGAGCACCCCATGATATAGGGATATGACAGTAGAGCCTTTGTGGATGCAAAATTGCATAATAGGAATTGATAATGGGAAAGAGATTGTATTGATAATGAAAATGTTATGAGCACAAACACCCTAAGCTGTCATATGTAAAATAAACAGTTTGGGTGTGTTATTTTTCTGTATAAAATGCTCCAAAGTTTTTAGCGAGCTTCAAGCATGGTTAATAATACTTCCCCAACCATCCGTTCCATATTCATCCAGAGTGATTGTCATTTTTGTACCAAGAGCAACAATTTTATCCAATGCTTTTCCATTGTATAATGTTTGAATGCGAAATGAAGTCGATGGACTCTAACCTAGCAATCCAACAAGACCACATAAGGTTACAACCTTGTCTTTCGTTATATAAATGGCACTGTATACAATGCAACCATTTACTTTTTCATTTACCTTTGATGCAACACGTTTATTTATAACCTTCCGATATGAAATCTAATAGCTTGGGTGTGTTACAAAGTTCGAAAAAATTTATTTTAAAGTTTGAGCTTAGTCAATAGAATAAATGCAGCCACCCCATTTTACATACAATGATAAAAATTACATGTGACCATCTTGAACCAAAGGTAAATGGTCTCCTTGCTTTTCCTATATAAATTTTGTGATGTTCCTCACTCATTATTTTCTTTTAAAATGTAAGACTTTGTTGGTTTCTCAAGTTTGAGAATCCTTTTCAAACAGTCTGCCAATGTTTTCGGCTGACTAATAAGTCTCACTAGTGTCTCAAAAGCAAATCAAGTTGGGCAAGTCATTTCTTTGTTATATGGCTAATAAGTAAGAGTGAGAGAGTGTGTCCCTAGATTTTCTACTATATGCGGTTGGCCTAGGCCAGGCAAGGCCCGGCCCAGAAGATTTCACCCCTGAAACTCCAAGCCCTAGTCTTATAGTCGGCCCAGGTCTGGGTCCTATTTAGGTAAGAAACCACCTATGTATTCCTTTGACATTTATGAACCACCACCCAAATGATTACTCGGGCGTTTAGGTATCATCCCATTTAGGACTGTAGAGGAATTGGTGCTTATTGAAAATTTATGTTGCCTATCAAATGCTGGAAGACACTTCTAATTGATCGATGGTGCTTATTGCAGTGATTTTGTAATTCTTGTTGATGTAAGTTGTTGACCTATCAAGTGCTCGTGGATGTTTTTGAATGATCATTGGTAGTTTTAGGTAAATTTCACTTCTAGAGCTAGATTGAGAGAGTGGGGAGGGATGGAAACCGGTTGGGTCTACCCGTGGACCTGATGGATCGACCAGGTCGGGTACGGGTTTGGACCCGATAGGTCAGTTCAGGTCCTAGTTTAAGTCCAGTTTGGATCCTATTGAGATGGGTCGGGATCAACCCCTGACCCAACCCAACTTGACCCAGTATATATAAGTATAATATACATATAAATCTATATAACTATATACATAAAACAACTTTTGTAATTTTTAAACCTAGACCCAGATTCGACCATCCAGGTCCCAATGACTTGGGACTCTACCCAGGTCTAGGTCTAACTTAGGCATGGTCGGGTTAGTCTGGCTTAAGGTCAACCCAAACCCTACCCTACCCTACCGTACCCATATACAGCCCCAAGAATGTGGATAAAAAAGCTTTTGAGTTTAGATAAAGAGCTACATCAATATGGTATTCATTTTGGTCATTTATAATTTGGAAGGCGTCATGATAGCCTTTTCTCCATTGACCAAGTTCCTTGCAATATCTCCATTGCCAAAGTACTGAAGCAGCTTGGAGAGAAGTCACTTGCCATGGCTCGAGGTTTCTTGATGAATGCTCTTGGTAGAACCTGGGTACGGTCTACATAATGCAAGAAGTTTCACACTTCAGCGTGGATTTAGTTTACCTCGCTTGCTTCAATTGTTGTATGAGCTCATTGTGGATGAAATGTGCATAGTTTTTTGTTTGGCTTGGGCTTCTATGCTCTATGGACTTTGACATGTTGCTTGATACTTTTCAATCTTAATTTTGAGGCTGGAGGTAGGAGTCACTTGATACTTTTTTTTTCATTTTGGGGACGTCAAAACAAGATGATCCCCTTCCCATGTTACTAGCGACACATAGGAGCATCAACACAAAGTGTCGGAAATGTCGAATTTGAGCTTTCAACTATTAAAACCTGTACATCATCCGGAAGGGGTTGAAGGTCAGATTCGAAGTGATATCAACAGCATTCCAACTAAAACAGTTGATAACCGAGACCCCTCTCATAAGAGAGAGAGAGAGAGAGAGAGAGCCTTACTCATAATTTACCCCCTTCTATTTAAGAACATTTTTGTGTCCTGCAAAACAAATGAAGCCTTATGCCGAAACACGTCGCATACAATCTTTCACTCTTTAAATATCCACCACTGCGACACCAAGTGCAAATTCTCACTCCAAAGAATTATGAACTTTCTTCATTATACATAACAAGGGGGGAGAGAAAGAAATGTCATTCATAACATATAACAGGGTGGATATATATATATATATATATATATATATATATATATATATAT